TTTTCACTTCTCTCTATTTTATTGAATTTATGACACAATAGTAAGAATAATATTATAACACGACTAATATTGTTAGTATAACTAAAATATAAAAAAAACATACATAGACACAAAAATAACTCACCTGAATACAATAACCAGAAGAAAATAAATGAAGTTACCCAGTGATATTTGTATAATTGTATGGATATCCATTGCAGAAACATAACATATATCACGTACAAATTTGTGCTAAGTATCTGCACAGTTTGTGTCACGGGAATATTACAGGGAAGACTGAACATTGTTGTGTTGTACAGGATGTAAAGGAGGTGTACGTAGGTAATTAATATGATGCAAAGTGTTGTTCAGCACTTCCTGAGTCGTGTACAGCAGCGGCATTCTCTCTTCTATCCAAAGCAAAATCAAAATTGATGCAAAATTATAAGAAGTGTATGTTGCATGTTCTAATAAATTATAAATTTACATTGTTAGTATTACTTCAGCAAATACATGCACCAATTATCATGCACAAAAACATGAATATATATATTTCAATATTTATACATTTATTTATCTAAGGATTCACTTTTTTTATCTAAGAAAAGAATATAATTAAGAAAATAATATAAAATATTATTAACAGGATAGCAAAGTTATTATAAATTACAACAATAAAAACTTCTTAATTTATCTATAATATAAACAATTTACTTTGTAGTATTTTTTAGTTCAAATTTTGTTAGTGGCAAGATTTACATTTCTAAAAATACATTACTTATGATACATGCACATGCCTATAAAAAACAGAAATATATTGTGATATTATACACATAAATTGTCACAACATGTTTACAAAATATTGTTTCAAATCATGTTAAATGTTTTTAATGACTATAACGTATATAAACATACAAATTTTTTTATATATTGTAGTTAGGTGTAGCTATTCAATTCAAATTATGATATCTATAATATATTTGTTTGAAACAATTTTTTGCAATGTAGCGTAATCTTTAAAATTGCATAACAACATTCAAATTAGAACCACCATCTAAGATTAAAATGATATCATTAAGGATATCTAAATATATTTATATTATTGTATATATTTAATTTTATAAAGCACACTGTTTAATTCTTATAGAACGATTTATAATTTATAAGAAAAATGTACTACATCCTTAATAATATATTTTAAACACAACATAAAAGTATTATGTGCATATATTATATCTTATTATATATGTATATATAGGTGTATAGTGCATGTGTACACTGTTTTTATACATTTAATTACAAGTCATTCATAAATTTAAAGACCCGAAAATCAATCAGCGAAAGTTATTAAATGAGATGATAAAATAATTTAAGTTTCTCTGATATATATGTGTTTGATAAATCATCGTACACACATTCAATTTGATTTAAATAAATAAGTATAAAATTATCCAGAGATATATAACATTAGAAATTTATACTATTGCAAGAAAAAGTAATTCTTTTAATATTTGTTTATATTCGAAAAACTGTGAACACTAAATTTATAATATATATTTATAACTTTTTTGGGTTTTATTGATATAACAAAACAACAGTTTACAACTTTGTTTACAAATGCAATATTAAAATGTACTTACCTTGAAGTTGACGACTGATGAGAGCAGTAATACCTTGACTATCACCAGTCTTTTTTACAACGAAAAGTTTGGTGTCAGGATCATTTTCTAAGGCTCCAATACCACCTAAACCAATTACTTGTCCATTTTGCTGTTGATGACTGCTAGCAGCCATTGTTTCGCTAACCTAAGATCATATTATATATAAATATATAGTACATTTAATTTATATAAATTTATATATATATGTATCTTTAAAAAGAACATATACACACCTGCATCAATTTCTTGACTACATCCCTTCCCAAGATGTGATCAAACACTGCCTGCAGAAATTGATCACTAATTATGCTTAATTTTAACTTGTCTCTATGCCATAATAATATCCTTGATTCTTCCATAGCTGTTATTGACACCTAACAAATAAATTGTTATATAAAACTAAAAATATACATCTAATGTATGTAATACGTTTATTTTGCTATGGACAAATAGATTTCTATTCATAATTCAAAAAGATATATAAACCTGAAAGTACTCGTCTGTAGATACACCAAACCATTCTGGAGAATCCAGGAACTGATGTGGGAAGACAATGTGTAATGCTCTTCCATTTTGTGAAACTACTAATCTGAAGAAATATGCATAAAAAAATTTAAATTTTGTTTCTAAATCTGATAAAATTAAGATTTATACTTTATTACAAATACTACAATACATGGTATTTGTAATACAAACTTACTTTCCAGAAAGTACCAAAGATAAAGAATCGACTTTGGTTACTTTTTCTTGGGCATAAACTTCTTGATATTTCAACTGTCGAATAACCTTCATACAATTTAATACTTTTTTGAACTGATGACGTGATACTCTTAATGGCTGGAACACTGCAATATATACCTGTATGAAAAAGAATGAAACGAAATATGTAATTTATATAGCATTATTATTAACTGCAAAAATATATTGTAATAAAATAAAAGAAAATAATCTACTTTAACAACTTTTTTGTGTATGTGTGTATATATATATATATATATAATCAAATTATTTTTTATTATATGCTTAAATCAATTAATAAATTAATATTTTTTCACTTAAAGAAATATAATATTAAATTACTAATATCACAAAAGCATTACAGAAATTTGATGGTACAATGAATTATATTGCTGAAACTGCATATATAAAAGTGCAAAAAAAGATGCTATACAAAATGTTTAATTCTAATGCAAACACCATGGCCAAACACACAAGCAATTTATTGTAATTAAATTTCTAATGTATCCATCTATATAAGCTAAAACAAGAATAATGCATCGTCTATAAAGACTAGAAGTTAGAATTAGAATTTAGAGAAACCAAAACGTACAGTGTATATCTTTGTATTCTACATATATAAAATATTAATTTAAAAATGGACAGACACTTTAATACTTACAAAAGTACAGTTCTATTATATGATACTAATTATATTAATTCATTCATGACATATTTAATATTTAATCTTTTGAAATAATTCTATAACATATATATCTATTTAAAGCAGTTAATAATGGAAAGCAATTTTACATTTAGCAACAAAATCTAATTACTTTTAAAGTACTTAGATTAAAATACTACTATTTAGATGTTCCTTACATAATATATTTTTCCTATATGTATAATTCCAAATATTGAAATTTAAATGCATTAATATTTTAATTAACTTTATGAATTTTGAATAATTAATAGTTCAACAAACAATATCCTATGATATTAGGTTAAACAATCATTCCTTCTGATTCTTCTCTTGGCTTACCTCTTCAACTTCCCTTGAAAACTTGATAGGCCTGAGCTTGTAAAGAAGCGTGCATACATGGACGAAGTTGATGGCAACAAATAGAGCATTCCAGAGAGCAGCATCCAGCCAACAAGCTATTGTCCAGCCCCACAAAGCAAGAAAGGCACAGCCCACGAGCAGAGTGCACCTTAAATAAAGTACACCATGTATGCCACTTGGTGCAAGATGTGACAATAAAAAGAAGGCATTTGCAAGTTGAAAGTAGATGTGGTTCACAGAAATTCCTTGATACGGTTGGCAGGTAAGAACTCCGTACAGAAAAGTTGGAGGCACTATCGGCGAATGAGGAGAACCAGATCCTTGACTGACCACTGATAGACCAGTAGCTGTAAAGTATTTCTTTCTCAAATATTTAGTAAAACCAATTGTATTTATCAGTAATAATGTAGTAATAAAATTCTTTACGGTAAATTGTTAAATACCGTTTTAAAGAAATCTAATAAAGATAATATTATATTTTTAAAATATATTAGTATAATATTATATGATACTATCATATTATATATGTATACATACTAGCTCTATTATCAGTGGTCACATTCCTACATTCGTCATCCTCATGGTGTGTTGAAACTGGTAGTGATACTTCAGATGTAACGGTATTATGGGGAACATTAAATGCAGCAGCATTTGTTAAACTGCCATCAATACCAAAAGATGTCCAATATAGAAATATAGAAAATAAAATAGAAGCACGCCAGCCTTCTCGGCTTCCTACAGGATCAAAACAGATCCACATCCCCGCATCACCACCAAGCTAAATCAATTTCGTCTTACTCTATAACAAAGAAATAAATAATTTTCAATTATAGAGAAATGAAATCAACTACAATATAGGTACAATTTAAATTGATAATTGCTACATATCATACTTATTCATAGGAGATGTTAAATTATATATTATACGCCACTTGTAAATATCCTGTCATTTTTCACATTTCTATTCTCAGCTAAAATTAAAGCTTGAAGACAAATACCATCTTGTGGACATTGAATTAAAGAAAGGTATTTGCATTACCAACAGCTGTAGGAAGACTATAGAAACATCTGTAATATAAATATGTATACGTAAAGCACTCCTATAAATTTGGCGTATTTTCCTATTTGTTAGAAACGTTTGATTATCTAGAATGATGCATATCAAAGCATAACTTTGAAAAAGAAATGTTGAGAATTTTCTAATGAAATTAATGATCATTTAACTTTCTGGCCTCAATGGAACAATAAAATTACTAATTGAAATATAATTGAACGAAAAAATTACAAATCTTGTTACTTCTTGTGAACAATGAAATTAAAAAGTTTCGTCGATTTCGTTCTTTGATATCTTTTTTTTCTCTCTCTTATGAATTCGAGAAAAAGATAGCGGTTCGAAATAAATATACTTTATGCTGTGTGCGAGTGATCGTGCATATTGACGCGTGTTACAAAGTATCGTATCGAAATCAATAAATAACTTACTCATGGAAAATTTGAAAGGATAGGAACGTACGCAAGGCATACAGATGAGAAAGTAAACTACAACGTCAAGTAATTTGATAGAGAATAAACCGAACTCGTATACGAAACAAACTTGCTTATCTAATGAACGTCAAACTAGCAGAAAGACGGTACTTTAGCAAGGAGGAGTAAAGACGACGGTAGAGAACTGGGAAACAGAAGGGGGATAAAATAGGCCACGCGGACCCTAATTTAAGGTTCGTTCAAAAATTTACTAGCGAACATTGAACGTTGTTTCAAATAAATAATTGCCACCATAAAATTAATTACAGATCGAATGGCAATTGCGAACTGAATCAACTGTTTATTATTTTGTAGATTATATATCAGCTACAAATAACAATTTATTATTTCAAGGAAAACTATCTAATAAATTTAGTCGATAACGTTATATCACAAGAACACGTTATATTTCAAGTATTTTGTTCTACGATCTTTTACCGAAATGAAAATTTTTCAAAATATTGCGCTCTATATAGAACGTGCACTTGAAAATAGCTTTAAATTGCACATCGTGCGATTAATGGACGAAAATTTGAATTATTAATATCTCCCTCTCTGTTTGTATACATATAGATATGTGTACTTTTTGAAATTCTCTCTGCTTTGTTTACGGGCAAATGTAATGATAAAATGGCAACGGAGAAGGATTTGATTAATGGTATTTATCAATTGTATAAACGTATTTTTTTGTATCTATTACATATATCTCATCATATATATTCATATACTCTCTTTAATATAATATTTATATATTTCATACATTTCTTATACAAATAAGTAATTTTTTGTAAATACGGATATATAGTTTTCTAATAACATGTGATATTCATTTTTGCTGCAAATGTATATATTATTTATAATAGAAGAATAAGCAGTATTATAATTAATTAACTGTGCAATATATTTACATCATTTATGTATTATATAGTTATTGTTATCAAGAAATATTTTATGTCAGTAACATCAGTATGTATATATGTATATTACTGAAGATTGTTTTACTTTCCAAAGTAAAAAAGTATTATTAAATAAAAAGAAAGTTTGTCTTTTTAGAATTAATTTTAAACAAGATTTGAGATAAGACTTATTACTAAGTTTTCTTGATACATTATTAAAATTTATTTTCACAGCAGTCAGAGAATCACTTAAAGCTGATGGAGAGCTTGGTCGTATAAAAGCTGAAATGCGTACAGAAGTCATAAAATTGTTAGATAATTCAAACAAAGAAAATAAAACAAAGCTTCCAAAACCACCTTTAGACATTGTATTTTTAAACGAACTTATTCGAGAATATTTAGATTGGATGGGATATAAGTACAGCTCAACTGTATTTATTTCAGGTATTTAATAGTGCAATTCATATTTAATATAATACAGTACAGAAATTAATATATCTACAAAAATTAATGTATAATATTTTTTGTTTCAGAATGTGATTTGTCAAAGCAACCACTTGATAGGCTTTTGCTTTTGCAAAGTTTGGGACTGAAGGAAAGTGAAAATAGTACAAAATTGCCATTGCTGTGTAGTATTATAGAAACATTTAAAAATTTTAAAAATACATAAATATATAAAATTATGTATAGATATGTTATCAACAAAAATTTCAAAAACCTAAAATATTCATGCTTAATATTACGAATAAACAAAAAATATATAAATTATCAAACCTTTTATTTTATAATCTAAGGTTTTTTTAATTTATTTAAATTTTCTTTATATAATTATATTTTAGAAAGCGTATAATTTTATATAGCAAATGAGTTCTAATTGTAAAACAAGAACAACGATAAATTAAAAGAATTTCGTCTTTTTATTTCATGACGTCTTTTACATATTGACATTACATTACGAAAGTACAATATAATGTTGCAATATTGGAGATCTTAAATATAATTGCTGTTGTTCTCTAAAAGTATAGTATTAGATTTCTTAAAGATATTATCTACTGAATGCTATAATGTACATTAGTTATTGTAATAAATTTACTTACAGCATTTTAGAGATGGAATTAGAACATGGACAATCATGTAAAGGCCTTAATAATGTCTCGAAATTAAATACAAGTTAATTATCATATTTTGTTACCCGTTCCATGTTTCATTAAAGTTTTCAATCCCAAAAAAAATATTGACTATTAATAAGTAACGAATCAGTAATGTTTGTTCAAATTAATTTTGAACACATCTTAGAATATAGAATATAGAATAAATCATCTACGTTGTTTCTTAGATATTGGATAATAATCTCAGTTTGATGCGTATAATAGTAAATAATTCTGGTAGTGGATCTTACATTAAAAAGCATTCACAAAGAAAAATTACTATCAGAATTTACTTTTAAAATAGTACAGACAATCTAATGATGTCATTTGTGCTTTGATTTCTTCTTCTTTTTCGTTTGTTTGTTCCTACTCTTTGATTTTTTTGATTTCTTCTTATGCTTTTCTTCGTCGGTACTTGTCTCTGATGAATCTGAATAAGAATCTGAATCAGAACTACTATCTTTTTTCATAGATTTCTTTTTCTTATGTTTTTTATGTTTCTTCTTCTTCTTCTTATGCGACTCATCAGAACTATCGGACTCGGTAGTTGAACTATCCGTAGTACTAGATGAATCTTCAGTAGTTGTAGATTTTGATCGTTTTTTAAGAGATTTTATATCCATTTCTTTTTCTATATCTGGCTCATCAAGTTTAAGTTTCTTGGCAGGTAATGGAACTACCTTGCCATCTTCACCATCAGATTCTGAATCTGAAGCACTGTAATCAGGTTCAAAATTAGCTTCATCTAGCATACTACGTTTACGATCGGATACAAGCCTTGGATTCTTCCTTTGTTTCTTTATAGATTCTGTAGCTGGAGGCTCAGGATTTTCATAATTTATTTTAGCTTCATTACCTTCAGGCTTATCTTTTAAAACAATGTTTTCCTTATGCTTTTGTTTCTTTTCTAAATTTTTATCTTTGTCCTTTTTATGTTTCTTTTCCTTTCGTTTCTTATGTTCTTTGGATTTACTTCTACTTCGGTGTTCTTTCTTTCTTTTTTTATCTTCCTTCGTCTTCTTATCCCTACGTCTATCATCTTCTTCCTCTCTACTCTTCAAGAGATTTATCTTTGGAATATCATTTCTTTTAAACGTACAAGATGGTGTTCTTCCTCTTCTTTCTTTATCTCTGTCTTTCTCTTTATCTTTGTCCAACCTTTCTCCTTTAGAATCGTTACGAGCTGATCTAAAATCTCCCCTCGAATCAATCCTCGGATCTCTTTCTGATCTTATATCGTGTCGATCGCTTCTGAAATCGTTCCTTTCTTTTGAACGATCACCCCGATCTTTATTATCCCGTTTCCTATCATCGAGAAATACTTTACGCTCGTTTCCTGGTATAGATAGTGATGAATCAACACGTCTATCTAATAGCGGAGATATTCGTTTATCTCTTGTATTTCTAGGAGATCGACTTCTAGATTGATTTTCACTTTTTGTTTCACGTCTATCTAAGAAGCTTTTCATGGGACTAATCTTTCTTTCTTTATTTTCATCCACTTTCTCGCCCAATCTTTCTTTAGCAGAAAGTCTTGTAGGTGAATAAGTTTCTGGAACTGGCTTAAATTTTGTTCGATCTAATTTAGCTTTTTTCACTGGTTCTGTAATTTCAACATTCCTTTCGTTTCTCCCTATATTTATGGTGACGTTCACGCTCTTCCTTGGTTCTCTGTTTGGTTCAACTTCAAGTACTTTGGGCTCTGGATTTTGGTACAGTACTTTCCTACTTTCACTTATCTTTTTAATTTCAATGGGTCTAATGGCATTGATGGCTTTTTGAAAAATTGCATTTTCTGCTCTTTTTAGTACTTCTGATGTAACTACTTTGGTAGATTTAGGTTCATCTAATTGTATTTTTTCTATCGGAGATTCACATACATCGTCAGTTTTTTCTGTAGTATCGTCTCTTTCCCATTTAGAGAGTTCGGGCATTGGAGCTAAAAATTCATCTTTCTTTGGCGATTTTTCCTCCAATAATGTGCTTTTATCTTCCATCTCATTCTCCGAAAGTAAAGAATACTTCTCTGTTATTACAGTGTTTATTTCAGCGTCATCTAATCCACTATAAAGGCTATCAATTGGTTTGATATCGGATTTTAATTCCGGAATTGGTTTGAAATTAGGATTAGGAGGATTTGTCCCAAATTCCGTATGATCAATCCTTTCTGGACTGGCCTCATGGAACTCTGGAGGTTCTGGATTCATGGCTAAAGATTTATCTTCAAATTCTTCTTTAATTGATTCTTCTATAACAGTTTCAGTAGGAATGCAAACTATTCTACTATCAATATTCTCATCTTCGTTATTAGGTTTTATAATATCATTTTTTGTAGGTGACAAGCACTCCTGCTTATTTTCCACTACTAATTCTTCCTGTTCGACTGATTTAATAGGTTCATCTTTCACAATTTCCTTTTGTCCCGATTTCTTTTCTTTCTTCTTCTTCTTCTTCTTCTCCTTTTCATCGTCCTTCTTCTTTTTCTTTTCTTTAATTTTCTTCTCCTTCTTTTTTTCTTCATTCTTTTCCTCGTGATCTTTCTCTTTCTTCTTTATACGCTCAGGCGATACATCCTTCGTATCTATTCTAGACTTTTGCGAATAAGGAGTTGGACTTTTCCTGTTCTTTTTCCGTTCCACAGAACGCCTTTCATAACGTTCATGTCGATCCCTATCTTTTTCAGATTCATAATCTCGTTCACGCCTATCTTTCTCACGGGAACGATTTTTATCGTCTTGCTTATGACGATCTCTTTCATCTCTGTAACTGAAATAACAATATCCCAATAATAATGAAGAACAGAATAATAATCAGGAATATTATCTAACAAAGTCAAGTCTATTCAATTACTCTATTTATGAATGTAATTGACATCTTTTATTTCAATAAATTAGTATATAAGATGTACATACCGATCTTTATCATAGTCTTTTTTATCTATGTGCCTATCGTCTTCTCGTCGATCCCGAGTGTGTCTATCATCTCGTTCTTTTTCTTTTTCTCTTCTGTCACGATCATCTTTTTCTCGTATCCTATCGTCGTGATCTCTGGGTAATCCTTGTCTTTCACGATCTTCACGATCTCTATTCAAAATTCTTCTGTCTCTTTCATCTCTTTCACGTAAACGATCATCTCGTTCACGTCCTCTGAATAAAAAAAATTAAAAATTCATTATTTACATATTTAAATATTTTAATTACTAACTGTAATCGACATATACCTGTCTTCCCTTAAAGATAATCTATCTCGATCTTCAGCATCATGATCTTTAAGCGAATGTTCACGATCTTCTTGATCTCTTAATAAACGCCGATCACGATCATCGCGTAAAGATCTTTCAGAGATCTCTACACCTGGTGGTGAAAGGTCATAATACCCCTCTGTTCCAGGAGGGGCAACATCGTCAAATCTTTTGTGAGGCACATCTCGCAAAGGGCTACCAAATCGTTGGCTAGATGGGCCAGGATACCTGTTGACAAAAAATTTACAAAAAATGTTTATACTTTTTTAAAATTATTCCAGAATTGAAGTAAACTATGATTCATAAAAGATCAATGCTATGTAAATTCTTTAATTTATAAATTATTAAAATATAAAATAGGGAAATTGTACATTTATTTGTATTCTGTAAAATCTAATTCCATCTTATAAAATTTTAAAATTTTAATTCCATCTTATAAAATTTATTATAGTCTTTTTATTCATAAATTTATATATCTTTTTGACAAAAATTATATAAGAATGTGTTGTTATTTAATTATACGTATGTTTATTAATTTCAGAGCAAAAAGAAATACAATTATGCTTTATCTAAGGGTTATTTATTTATTTAAAAAAAGTTGATTTTATCATTTTTTTTACTTAGTGAGAAATTACTATTAAAAAGTTAGAACTTTTATATAAAAAGCTTTATATTATTAAAATATAATTACTACAAAACCTTTATACTAAAGCTGAAAAGATGAATGAATAAAGTTACTTATTATCAAATATATTTACTGTCTAATATGTCATAAAAACGAAAAGCAAATAAATCAACATTTATAACTTCAAATATATTATGAGCACAGTTGTACATTAAATGTACTCATTTAAACATTAGTACTTCATATTTTACTCACCAACAATGTTCTATTATATCATATAAATATTGTTACATTAGTATGTTGTACAACATATCTTTTAGTTTTAATCTGTATTGTTTTGATAATTTTCTTAAGAATATTCTACGACATTTTTTACTTGAAGCACTGAAAGCAGACAAAAGGAAATGTTTTTCTTATGTTACAAATGTTGATTTGGCCCTGAATTCACCTGATTCAGAAACCATGCAGATCTGTTCAGCAATCAGCTGGGTAGCTTCCACAATCTCCAAGTCGATCCTTGCCGTATACATTTTCCTTGCTTCTGTCTTCTTCTTTCACTTTTTGGTTATTTGTATATTTCACAACGTAATATCATTATGTATATACAAATAATATTATATATGCATGCAAATGATAAAATCAATCATTCAATATAAGAATA